ACATTAATTAAACAAACTGAGTCAAATGTGGTCAAATTATGGTCAAGAAACAAGTGGTAGGAAGATCTCCAGTCAGAAGTGAAGGCAAAATAAAGTAGAGCAAAGTCAATGCGCACTTTCGAAAAAGTCAGAAGCGTACTAAGGGCTGTATTGTGGATGAAAAAGCATCTATAATATAAATTCGATTTCAGGCGGATGATGCTAGGGATAACATCACTCTCAGCCGAACACAAGCATAGCTGTGGAATCGGAGACTGACTTTCCGGATGCTGGCTCGGTTCCTCCGTATTTCCTGCCCCTCCAAAGCATAGTTCTAGGGAGTGCCCCCTTATATTCCGATAGTGCCACCAAAGGTCTTCAATGCGGCTTCGCACCTTTCTACTGAGGATTTTTTCGTGGTCGTAGCTTGATCGTCATGAGGTGAGTGCATGAAATCATCGTTTTTCTTTCTTGCTAAGCCAATACATGGTTTCATTTGGGTCCCGTTTCGTTTGAAAGACTCGCCGGGGCCGGGTGAGCGGGTAGCAGCTCCTACAGATGTCATGGAACCTACTCTTAGATCTATTCTTTCCAATGAATGCACAAACACCTCTAGAGATACAAAAAGTAAGAATAAGTGCCCAGTGGGGTGGAAGTAAATCTGTGCGACATTTACGTTGCAACAACTTAATATTTGTAACCACAGAAATTGGGCAGGGGCAATGAGCGCTTTTAGGTGACGTCTAGCATTTACAGTTTTCTTATGCAAATAATGAACGCATTTTGTTGCGATGATTTTTATTAGCCGGCCTGTCAAACTGCGCCTGATGCTGGTACTACTTAGAACCATTTTGGAATTTTTGGAAAGCATAGTTCTTGGAGAGACAGGATTGAGCACGTCGCCTTTGCTGAACAGCGGCTTGCATTCCTGCTTCCAATTTTGCTCAAGCCAAACTAATCGAAGATCGCCATTCTTTCGGTATGGCTAGAAAATCATGGCTTCCAGAAGGCTAAAAATGAAGTGAATTATTAGCAAGCTTTTTGTGGTATTCATTGGAAGCTCGAAAGAAAATCGACCTCCAAATCTGGTGTATTCAGACCATGCCGAAGAAGAGTATCTAGGTTCGGTTATTATATACCGGTCTCGAAAAAAGATGTTTTCCCATTCCCTCCTTCATCGATGCGTGAAGTTATTCCGAATGCTTCCAGGAGATTCCTTTAGTAAGATGACAAAGTTCAATCAATGTGAAAGGACTCCAGATGCAAAAAGTTCTATGACTCGAAACAGCAAATAAGAGAAAATGAGCACAATACGCGTCGCGATTCTGCCTTAACGCACTAGATCTCAAAACACAGCTCACTTCCGATATATCGTGATTAGTGCGATGGGCTTTGAATAGCTCACTCAGTCTCGGCCTACTTTCTTCGCCACTATCTGATCGCGCATTACCGTTCTCCAACAACTTAACAAACTTAAACTTGTGGATCTAGGAAGCAAGAGATCAAAACCCATGAGTTACAATTCCGGCCTCGTTGGATACCTTTATGAGCATGTGATTGAGGTTGTGAATCGGGGGCGTGTTCATGCTTTATTTTATTAACTGGTTGTGGACACATCTTCTGTGGTGTTGGAGTGAACAAAATAAAATTTGCTAACCATATAGATCATGAAAAAGAGTGGAAAGGCAAGAGCGGAGGATATGATGGGGTAATGTTTTGACTAATTTGGCTAAGTTTTCTGGACAGGTGAGCCAATTTGGTATGTTTAAAAACTGAAACAAGAAAATCTGGTTAGGCGTTTGGATCGTGTACAACTTCACAAATACTATGCTTAGGCCTCCGACATGGGGACAACAACAATCAACCACAACAACAACAATAACGGCAGGGGCACAGCAGCAACAACTACAACGATAACAACAACACAACCAACTCTGGCGAATAAAAGGAGAGCCGGACTTTTGGTGTCAATACAATAATGCCATCTTTCACATGTTGCTTGTCTCCTTTGTGTTAGCATCAAAAATGTCAACAATTTTCGATCCTCGAGTTTATGTCTGGTTCCTTTGGGAAAACGGGCAGGTAACTTCCCCAAAAGAAACACACGTAACCCGATCTTCCTCAGTTTAAGTGAAAAGCGGTTTTGCGCGATACTAAAGCGTACATCACAGTTTGTGAATAGTGAATCCTACGCCAAACGTGGCAGATGGTGGCAAATAATTAATAAAAAATAGTTGATTTTCATAAGTGAGACAATGGTTCTCTACCTTCAATATATCGTCAATATTTAAGCAACGAGTAAAAGCATTTTTTTACAGTAGTTTTATTGAACTGACCAAATAGAAAGTGCTACGGATTTTCTGTGCTTATCCAACACTGAAAATCTATTGTCAAAGGGCTATTGAGCAGAGATCTAGCTGGTATTTAAATGGCACAATCAGGTAGCAAGGACAACCCGATATCAAGATGTTGGCATCACGTGCACTACGCCTGTTTATTTGCCTCATTTTGGCGGTATTTTTTCGATTTTTCTGCTTTCTTATCTATTCATAGGCTATAATTCATCACTTAGGTCTCAATAACAGTATATGCTCAACAAGCACAGCAGCAAAGTTCGTCAACGGGGTCAACAAGCGATACAGCTTCAACGAGCGGGACAGCTTCAACAAGCGATACAGCTTCAACGAGCGGGACAGCTTCAACAAGCGATACAGCTTCAACGAGCGGTACAGGTTCAACGAGCGATACAGCTTCAACGAGCGGTGCAGCTTCAACAAGTGATACTTCAAGTACTTCGGGTACAGCTTCCGAGTCAACAACAGAGAGCACCCAGCGAATCATCTGAATCTAGTACAAGCGCACAGACAACGACTACCACCAATGCGAATCCGAATCCAGGTTAGTTTGTGAAGAATAGCTTGAAAGATGGACTCAAGTGACCTGAGCTTTTCAATAGCTTTTCACTGAAGCATACTAGATCCCACCTATCACATTACAATTAGTCACTCTCGGGAGTAATATGTAGGGCGGAGATACAGGAATCACCTGTTTGAAATGCTTTAGGGCAGAAGTAGTTTATGGCCCTCTGTGGTGGGTAGCAGGCTGGCCGCTGCTGAGTAGGCCCGGCGCGGCTGAGGGATTGCTTTCTTTAGCATCGCACTCTGGCTTGTCGCGGTAAATAAGGTATCACCTGTTCTCCAGGGGTCATTCAGTCTAAAAAACGATGTGCTGCGAGGTAACGGCAGTTAGAGTTGTCATCGCCCTAGCTAGCCCTTGCGGGTATGCTATTAGGCCAACGTGGCATAAAACTTGCCCACACACTCCTGCACGAACGAAGAAGGCATCCCGCATTTTGAAAGCTTAGAAGGTGTTCGGTCGTGAAAACGCCGCAACACATTGTCAGAGGGCAGGGTCAAGCGAGGCGTCGAGGAAAATTCGGAAATACGACCCCCCTCCCTCTGCCGAAGGCCGAAGTCCATGAAACAACCCTCTTTAAAAGCCGAACTATGAAAAAGTTGTTTAATTCTCCACCAAAACTGCTCATAAAAAAGCCCTGCTACCCCATCGTCCACAAAAAAACTCGTTTAAAAAGTATAAAAGTGAAAAAGTCAAAGAATGATCATTAATGACGAGTCCTGTCAAACGAGCAAACGAGAAACGGAGCAAAAAACGTCAAACTAGTCACTAGAAATGGCGTACTATGACAACACCTCTTCTTTGTTTATTTCCTCCACAAGACTTACCAAATTCTAGTACTACACAGATTATGGTTCTCAATTTACACGTCCCCCTTTCGCTCAAAGGAAGCCTTGTAAAAGCCTTCGCCAGCTGTGTGTTGACTGGACTTTGGCGTTGACCGTGGAGCAGCTTATTTACTATTGAAATTTGAACAAATATTGAAATTTGAACAAATATTCAAATGATTATAACTTTCTTCAAAGTTAACGAATTTTCAATCTGAAAGCTGATTTGGGAGTTTTGTGAAGAGCTTTTTCTAATCAGTACTGAAATTACAGGAAGTTATAAGAAATAACAAATTTAGATCAAATAACGAGGAAAATTCGAGACGAGCACGAGTTTTTACACTTTCCGGAGCAATAACTTGCTTCATTTCCGTCAAATTCAAAAGTTGATACGTCATACAAAACTAGAAGATTTTCTCTATCAAACGGTCGCTAAAGCAGCTTCATACGTCCAGTACTCAAAAAATGGCCACGTTGAGGATTTTTGCAAAATTAACGAGGAAAATTCGTGATGAGTGCGAGTTTTTACGCTTTCCAAAGCCATAACTCCGTTCAAACTCATGCAATCTGGAAAGTTAATACGTCATCATAAACTAGAAGATTTGCTCTTTCTAAGGCAACTAAAACTGCTAAATACGTTCACTATTTAAAAAATGGCCACGTTGAGGATTTTTGCCCGAGTACCGCCGAAAGGTACTTTTTCGCTACATTAGCACTATCCCAACGACTATAGCTCCTTGCAGGAGCGATTACATACTGAAGTAGGAGCAGATTCAAAATCCTCGTGCTTTTCTCTCTGCAAAAAGTGTAAAATTGTTTAGCGGGTCTCAACTTTAAAGGTTACATGCTTGTGAATTTGACGCTGAAGGCTGCGTTTCTTGTTGAATAGTGTACTCCTCTCTGTAATTTAACATGAACTCTTTCAGAACCCTCTTGATTCTTCCTGAATTAAGATTCGTTATCAAGATAGCCGTAGCTGAAGCGCGCGCAACCAACTGGGCCCACTCTGGGATGCGCCGTGTGCTTCACATCTCGTTGGATTTGAGGACCTACTTGAAAGATAAAATATCCCTAGAAAACGTGCGAATTTCGGATCCTTTGACTTGTGTGGTGATGAAACACTAAAGTCACTAAGAATTGCTAAGCGGACACCTCTAAATCACGAAGATTTTGTGTGGACGTTCGAATAACCGACTTTCAACCGATCTCGGTTTCAAATGATCCCTTGTAGCGCCCGCCCGGGTCGTGGACGGAATCAATTGTTATTGGAAATACTCTGGCCTGGTATCGATTCGATCCTTAATGTTTGTCCTCCGACGATGATCCTACTGTATCAATCGGGCCCGATCTCTCCCCAGCGGGCCAATACGACCCCCCCCCCTCTGTGACATGTCGAGGATTCCTCAACGCACGCTTGACCCTGGTCCTGGGTGAAAATGACGTCATTG